TATGAACAAATCACTTAACCTCTCTCTGGGCCTCAATAACCTTACCTATAGAATGAAAGAGTGGAACTAGAATATCTCTAACAGCCATTCTATCTCTAGGAATCATGTTCTATAAATCATTGTACGAACTCTAAGTTCCATACTTTCCTATCTTTGTTCCTTTCTTATGCGGTTCCCTTGACACTACCTCTTGACTTTCATCCACTGAGTTCCAACCCATCCTTCAAGATCCATTTCAAATGCTATCTTCATGTACTCTTTCTCAATATCTTTAAGCAGAAGTAATCTCTATCTCATCTGAGCTCCCATATCCCTCGGACCTTTTTACTATCTTCCACATTCTATTTTGTGTTACATAAGGTCACAACCCCTATTTGCCTCAGTTCCTCATCTGTTAAAAAAAAAAAAGAAATACCCTAGAGAAGGAAAAGGCAAACCACTCCAGTATCTATTAAATTTTTTAATGTTCCAAATTAAATTGAATTAGAAATAAGTAACCAACTATGGTACCACACTCACCTCTCTTTCCTATGACTCTTGATTCTTCTACCTCCAATTTCATTAGTGTCTCCAGAAAGGTCAAGAGACAAAGTAGATCACAGGTGAATTACTGTACTTAAATATTTAAAGTATTTTGAGAGCCTCACCAAAGATGACCATGACTGAGTATACTGGTGACTTGAAGCAGGCCTTTAAAGTTCCCACTCTGCCATTTATAAGCTGTATAATATGAACAAATCACTTTTAACCTGTCATTTTCTTCATCTGTCAACTAAAGATCACTAACATGATAGAGTTGTGTAAGAATTAAATAAGATAAATATAAGCCAAAATATAAACAGAAGCTATTATCATTCCATTACTTGAACAGATCTGTGATCCAATCAACGCATCCAAATAATCTAATTCCCTCCTATAATGAAAACTGAATCTACCTGTGCTTTCTCATCCTATGCAACACATGTCTTTATAATGTTACTCATAAATTCTCTTCAGGGGTCCACCTAACATACTGGGGGCTATCCACTAGATCTTTAAACATCACATGGAAACCATTAGAGCATATAGGATATCCATCTGTTATTCATCTGTTATCCTTTCCTCTTAATACATGGCCACACATGTCGTTTTCAAATCATGTGCTTTTGTTTTTTGTTTGTTTTGTTTTTTGGTGAGGTAATTGGGGTTAAGTAACTTGCCTAGGGTCACACAGCTAGTAAGTGTCAAATGTCTGATGCTGGATTTGAACTCAGGTCCTCCTAACTCCAAAGCTGGTGCTCTATCCACTGTGCCACCCAGCTGCCCCTACATGCACCTTTGATGATATCTTTGTACCACTTCTTGTGCATAGTATTTTGTTGGCAACATGCCACAACCTACCCACAGCTTCCATGAATCTGTCTACTGCCCTTTAAATGATTTGCAATTCTGATTCTTTGGAAACTATGGCAGAAGAATGCTAATATTTAAAAGTTTCAGGCAGAAGCTTGGGGTTATGATAAGCACTGTGCAATTTACCAATTAGTAGTGCAATCTACTCTGTTCCTATTCAGTTTTGAGTCACTTCACTGTCCATCTGCAGCATTTGTCCAAGATCGAGTATATGAGTGACTGAAGAATGCACTGTGAACGTAGGCTGTCCATCCAATTGCCTGAAACAGTGTGGATAAAAGGCTATACTAAATCATTATCTATTTGACTTTTCCTTGGGGATCACTAGGCCAAATTCTTCTGAGTGACAGGGTTCTCTTCAACATTCCAGGTTCTGATGCAATTAGCACATCATCCACAAACAAAAGCACCTTGACAACTCACCAGCTACAGGGAGTCCTGCTTTCATCTGGACTCCATGCTGTACATCATCCATGACAGCAGAAAACACCTTTGGTAAGCATACATCTTCATTTCAAACAAAGCTATCTCTGTTGTTCCATCTTTCAAAGAATGTATTAGGATTTTAACATATGCATGGGAGAAACCTTGTTGGAAAAGAGCCATAGGGGGGCTTTTTTTGTATTTTTACCAAATCTAATTTTTTTTTTTTTATAGTTAGCAAACAATGAGCAAAGGAGGATTTTACATTCTCTGAACCCTTGAGTCAACTGAGTGACTGAGATGATGTGGTCTACTGTAGAACACAGTCTGCCTGTTCCTATTGCACACTTTTATCGTATGTATTTAATAAGCTATTTTTTGTTATCAAATTATAGTTTGCCTCACTCACAATACTGTCTGGGAAAGTGACTCTTATGACCTTCTCTTTTCATTACTCCAAGAAAAACAATTTCCTGATGATACTTCTAACTCATAAGAACTTCTTCATTATTAAGGCAGTTAGAAGGAGTATATATAGACAGAAGGAACAGGTGTGAGTTGAATATGAAGGGATGATAATCTAAAAAAAATGGGATTAAGGGGTGAGAGGGAATGTATAGGGAGAAATGGAAAGGGAGAGGTAGAATGGGATAAATTATCTCACATAAGAGAGGCAAGAAAAAGCTTTTACAATAGTGGGGAAGAGGGAGAGGTGCAGGGGAATGAATGAACCTTACTCTCATCAGAACTGGCTCAAAGAGGGAATAACATACACACATCAATTGAGTATAGAAATCTATCTTACCCTACAGAAAAGCAGGAGGGGAAGGGGATTAAAGAAGGGGAGGGAGTGATAGAAGGTAGGGCTGACTGGGGAGGCGGCAGTCAGAAACAAATCACTTTTGAAGACAGGGTGAAAGGAGAGAATAGAATAAATGTAGCAGGGGTGGGAGGGAATAGGATGGACAGAAATACAGTTAGCTATACTGTGAAAAAAATTTTGAACCAAGTTTCTCTGATAAAGACTTTATTTCTCAAATATATAGAGAACTGAGTCAAATTTACAAAAATGAGAAACATTCCCCAATTGATAAATGATCAAAAGATATGAACAGTTATCAGATGAAATAATCAAAGCTATCTATAGCCACATGAAAAAATGCTCTAACTCACTACTGATGAAAGAAATGCAAATTAAGATAATTCTGAGGTACTACCTCAGACCTACTAGATTGACTAATACAGCCGAAAAGGAAAATGAGAAATGTTGAAGGGGATGTGGCAAAAATGAGATATTAATGCACTGTTGGTGCAGTAGTGGACTGATTCAACCACTCTATAGGGCAATTTGGAACTATGCCCAAAGGGCTATAAAACCTTGCATACCCTTTAATCTAGCAGTGCCACTACTAGGTCTGTATCCCAAAAGAGATAAAAAACAAAAAGGAAAAAGACCTATATGTACAAAAATATTTATAGTAGCTTTTTTCTGGTGGCAAAGAATTGGAAATTGAGGCGATGTCCATCAATTGAGGAATGGCTGAACAAATTGTGGTATGTGATTATGATGGAATACTATTGTGCTATAAGAAATGATGAGCAGGATGCTTGCAGAAAAACTTGGAAAGACTTACACGAGCTGATGCTGTGTACAAAGTACCAGCAATATTATAAGATGATCAGCTGTGAATGACTTAGCTATTCTCAGCAATACAATGATCCAAGACAATTCTGAAGGACTTATTATGAAAAATGTTATCCATCCCCAGAGAAAAACTGATGGTGTCTGAATATAGATTGAAGCATATATTTTAACTTTATTTTTCTTGAGGTTTTTTTTTTTTGGTCTATGTTTTCTTTCACAACATGACTATTATGGAAATGTTTTGCATGACTGAATATGTATAACCTATATCGAATTGCTTGCCTTCTCAATGGCGGGAGGGGGGAGAGGAGAGGGGATGGTGAGGAAGGGATAGAATTTGGAACTGAAAGTTTTAAAAACGAGTGTTAAAAATTGTTTTTACATGTAACTGAGGAGAAAGAAAGAAAGAAAATAAATACAAAAAAAATTTCCCCATTGTTTATGAACAGTGTGAATAATGCCTTAATTCGTGCATGTATTTAATGTTTAAATTATATCTATAGAACTTTGTATGTGATTTATCACTGTAATCTATTAAATTATATAATTATTGGAAAAAAAATTACAACCACCGCCACCACCTCCTCTATGGATCATGTCTGTTTAAATTTATACCAACAGCTATAAAAACAAAATATAACATTAACTGGTTTTAATTTGTTTTGAATAACACCTAGTACCATCTCATAAACAAGTAGACATTGCTTAACAATTTTGTAAATTGTAATGATATTTCAATTATCTGGAAAAGGAATCACAGATCTACCAAATTTTCCCTAGCTAAAAAACAAGGAGATACAAGGAAGGAAACCTGGCTTCAAATCATACCTCAGACACCTGGTAGCTGTGTGACACTGGGTGAGGCATAGCATCTATGTAACTCATATTTTTTTCCCAAACATGCCACTTGTACTCTGGACTTCCTCAGGCTCCCACCTAAACTCAGCTCTGCCCTTGGGTCTGTGGGCTCTGCTAAGGAAGCTTTCCTCTTATCTTGTCTGGAACAAAGCTACCCCACTATTTTTTTTTTTTTTGTTGAGGCAATTAGGGTTAAGTGACTTGCACAGGGTCACACAGCTAGTTAGTGTCAAGTATCCGGTCTGAGGTAGTATTTGAACTCAGGTCCTCCTGACTCCAGGGCCAGTGCTCTACTGCACCACCTACCTGCCCCCACCCCATCATTCTTGGCCATTCCCAACCCCAGCTCTACTTTATGTGTCATCTTCCCTACCAGAATGTAAGCTCCAGAAGGGCAGAAGTATCCTACTTGTTTTTGAATCCCCCATGTTTAGCACAGTGCACAACACAGCAAATGCTTCACAAATGCTTCTTCCTTTTTTTGTTTGTTTTCCCCATTTAGGCATCTAAAACTTACCTATTTAGTTATGGGTATGTTTCCCCACACTGATGAATTATGTATTCTCATAAAATCAAATACTAAAATATGTAAAGATAGTCATTTCTATTTCCCCTCTTCCCTTCAATCCAAACCCAAATGATAAACAGCCCAAGCACAAAACTAACAGAATACATCACTTACCATCGTGTGTTAGGGAACCTTTCAATGAACAAGTTTGTAATAACTTCAGTAACAACTGTAAGCATTTGTCAGTTTTCAGCAAGGGTATGTAAGCATTCGTTCCAAGCTTCATGAGGACATCCATAAGAGGATGCAAGACAACCTTTAATTCATTCTGTGTTTTCTTCCTTTCACTATACATTAAAAACAAAACCACAAAATAAATGTTTTAAGCTAAAACAAATCCCATTCAACCTACAACTTAGGAAACTGCCTCCCTAAAACTGCTAAATATTAATCTATGTTACAAATTAGCCTCAGAATTTAATTTATGAATGTGTGCTTCACATGTGGCCAGATCTTCAACTCTGGTCTTCCTAACTGCCCATTTTAGTCACACTTTTTCCCCTGAGTTTAATAATATTTACTATAGAAGGAAAGCACAGGTACAGATAGCCTATACTCATTTCCAAATTGCCAAATAAGTATAAATACAAAAGAAACCCTACAGCTAGTTTTATTTGAAAAAATAAAAAGTTTCAGTTTTATATTACTTTTTTCCTATAAAGAAAACTTTTGGTAGCTAGAATGCTGATAAATTAGATATGTTAAACAAAATCTGAGAACAAAGCAGCTAAAAAACATTTACTTCATTATTTCTCAAAAGTACCTATGGCCAATAATAAAACAATCATAAAAATTTAAATTTGCATTGCACTTCCGAGTTTACAAACATTTTAGTCAAAATAACACCATGGATCAGGGGCTGCAAACACATTAAATATTTTCTAACTCAAACCTCTTCTAGCAAAAAAAATTTAACCAATATAGAATTGTATTTATACCACAGGCTAGCAAACTTCAATCTTCCACCTGCTTCTGCATGGCCCATTAGCTAAGAATGATTTTTATATTTTAAAATACACCTTTATTTCTACATTTTTAAATACAACTATATTTTAAAATGTAAAAACCATTTCTAATGCGTGGCCTGGTTTGGCCCACAGGCCATAGTTTTCCAGCCCCTGCTTTATAGAGTCACCATGAACAAAGAAACTTTGCAATTTCAAAGCAATATAGTTTGGTCTGTTCATATTCACCACAACATAGGTACATTACAAGATAATCCTAATTGTATAAGGGCCAAAAATTTTTTAAAAATACAAAATTTTCAGGAGGGGAAAATTTCAGGAAATTTAAACTGTGATATTAACTTTGGGAATTTGCAGACAGTAATTCTGTACTTGGTATACAAAGTATAATGAGTTTTCAGCCCTTATCATACAAAATCAGCTGTTTCGGGACACAGCTTTTCCTCTTCCATAAATTGACTAATTTGCTATTCTTCAAAATCACTTTGACTATTTTTGAGCATTTTCTTAATAGGCAGACCAAGATGCTAGTCATCCCACCCATGATGCCATCAGCAAACCTAATGAGTAAATCCCAGCATCCAATCATCTGAATGGAAACACACATCTGATTAGCTTTCTTTTTAAAGTAACATACTTACCTATATTTATTTTTCATTTCCTCCACATCTGCAGCAAGCAGGATCATCATGGCAACAAGTTTAGCTTCATACCAATCAGGCATAAAGCAATTTCCTCCTGCTTGAACAATAATATTTAAAGCTTGTAAAGCCTTAGAATCAAGTTCATATGTGAATCAATTACTACTAGGTTCTTTGGTTAACCTACTGACTTCTCTCATATGACAATTTTTCATAAACAATAAGTACCATAGTATTAGGTAATAGTAATGTAAAACTAGTAAAGAATTAAAGGTAATTGAAATCAAATATAGCAAAATTTCCATTATGACAGTTTATTTTTAAAAGAATTTGAATAAACTATCCAAGTAAATCTCCTAAATATACCAAATACATACAAGACTATAAATTGTTAGCATATAATTCAACTAAAAATATTTCATACATGTTACACCTGTTATATTTCATACCTGTTACACTTAGCACAAGTGTAAAGTAAGACAGTCTCTGCCCTCCAAGTGTTAATTGAAAACTTACAATTAACACAACAATTCTGGGAAGTAATTTGGAATTAAACATAGCATGTTATCTCTTCCATTAGACTGTGAGTTCCTTAAGGGCAGGAACTATACTTTGTTGTTGGGGTTTTGGGGGTTTTTTTGAGGGGGAGAAGGGAGAAGCCTTTCTTTGTACTTCCAGAACTTATAATAATACCTGGCACATAGTAGATGTATAATAAATGCTTTTTGACTATAAAAAATGAACATAATTAGTAAAGGGAAATAAGGAAAGATTTATATGAATTAAAACAAAGTAAGCAGAGCTAAAAAAAAACCAATATACACAACTTCAACAATGTAAATGAAAAGAATCACCACAAAACAATGAAAAATTAATATTGTGAAAAATAAAGAATAATCATGGCCCCAAAAGAGAGATGAGAAGATACCTCCTCCACTCCTCCACAAAGCTATGGGGGTCCATGAGTATAGAACACTGCATATAACGTCAGATTTTTGTTGATGTATTAATTGGTTTTCCTGATTTTTTTCCCCTCTTATTCCTCTAAAAATATCATTTCTTAGAAAGAATGATTCTCTGGGAACAGAAGAGAAAGGATGCAGGGAGAAATCTAGGTGATATTAAAAACAAGTATCAATAAAAACTGACTTTAAAAATCTAGTATCACTCATTCAAAAACCATTTGCTAGACATCTATTTGCAAGGCACTGAGCTGGTCAAAGTCATAAAGTACTAAGACAATACTAAACCTCAAGAAACTTACAATCCAGCTTACAGGGAAAAGTAATATCAATAACTAATTATAGTGCATTGCACATAGTAGGCACTTAATAAATGAATGATGAATGAATGTTAAAAGTAATGCAATGTAATTTCACAGATCCCTTCTGGATAGAGCAAACATCAGGGAAGGCTTCATGGAGGTGACATCTGTATTGATAACTGATGGATAGATAAGACTTACATGAAGCCAGGTATAGAAAGTATGACTTAAGTGTGGAGAGAAGAAATATAAAATATGTTCAGCAAATAAAGTAGTCTGGAACACAAGCACGTGAAAGAAGTAACATGGTTTAGGGAAAAGAACACTGGACTTGGGAGTCAGCAAATTTGGGTCTGAGCCCTAGCTCCATGACTTACTTTATTATCAAGTGAGGTAGACAAATAAATTAACCTCTCTGAGTCTCCATTTTCTCAACTATTAAAATGATTATAAAATCTTTCTATTACTTACCTCACAGTTATATCAAATGAAAGAACATATGTAAATTATGGTACAGGAGCGACTGTGATAAAAATGATGAAAGGGGTACAAAGTATAAAATCACACTTAGTAAGAAGTATAGCACCATCAAATGGTTCAACATTGGAAGCAGATATGATTTCATTAATGGAAATAACATTAAAGAAAAGGTATTACCATCTGTCTTGCCAGGACCACTGGACCTTTCCATCTATCTGTTCGGCAGATGAATCCTCCTATAGATAGTGCCTCTCCCTACTAGAACAAGCTCCTCGAGGGTAAGGGCCATCTCACTTTTCTATACGTATCTCTAGCATTTGGAACACTTTAAGTATTTAATTTAAAAATTTTCATTTTTCCCATCATTCATGTAAGGAAAGAGCACTGGATTTAGGTGCAAATTTGGTTCTGAGGCTAGTATTACCTAAGGTAACTTTATGTAAGCACTTAATAGCCCAGCCTATTCCCTCATCTGTAAAACAAAGGAGTCAAGACTAGATATTGAAGTTCCCCTAGAGCCCTGAATTCTGTTTTACCACTTTAGGTCTGAATGAGGAAAAATTCATGAAGGAGGTAGAACAGATGTTAGTCCCATCCCTGAAAAACACGGGGGTTCCAAATATTTTAGAGATTAAACAGTAAGTCTAAAATCAGTATTTTGGCTGGAAATAGATTTTTAAATAGACTACAGAAATAGTAAATTCTTAAACACTTGATAATGTTCCCTAAAGAAAAAGAATAATTGGGCCTGTCAGACCAAAAATTCAAACTCTAAAACTTCTTCTGGGGAGGAAGGGGATGTGGAGTGAATAAGGGAAGTTCCAAAACACTCTAAAATAGGATTTTTAACTCTTGAGAGACATCACACAAAAATGTACTATGTCTAATTACAGAACCTTAACAACTGGGTTTATAGCTACCATAAGGTATACTTCACTGTTAATCGATTTCTTTGGATTATCAATCCTTTTTTAAGTATAATGTGATCTTTGACCAAAATGTTCTGTCTGATACATTGACTATATTTGGTAAAATATAGGCTACTCAAAAGTAACCACAAAAGATCTCTATATCTAGTTAATCTAAGCTCAGATAAACCTTTACATCTATTCATTTCCAGAGTATTCTATGTTTGAGTCTATGATTGAAGGTAGATGTCAAAGACCTTCTTCAGTTTATTTGTAGAGTCCCAGAAGAGAATCTTCAAAAACAGCATCGCTTTTGACCTATGTAGCAGGAACCAGAACATAAGTTTTCTAGGGTTATTGTGACTAACTGCCCTCAAGAACAAGTCTGGAAAAAAGTACATTCCTCATGTTGAATTTGTGATAAACATTTTCAAAGTGAGCTGTGTGTAATAGAGGGTCACAGTTTCACACATAATTTTCTTTTGTTCTACTCTGCATATAGAAATGTTGTCTTTTTTGTGGTTCAATAAGTTCAGAATAGAAAAATGAGAGATAGCAAACGTCTGGTGTAAAAAAAAAAAAAAGGTCTGTTACTTACTGCCCGACACAGACACGTTCTTAACTTACAGTTTCTCTTTTCTGCATTGGCCGCTTTGAGAAATCAGAACAAAAGTTATTTTAGATGCAACAATTAGCATAGTGATGCTTTAGCTTGACAATTCTATCAAGCCAAAAATCAACTTTAGAATAGTACATCTTTTCATTCTCAAAACCTCAATTTAACCCTTCTCTGAGCTATATAACCTACTTTGAAAAACACTACATTTAATTTTTGTACTCCCCAAGTTTTGCAAGAGATTTTGGTCAAAACCATTCAAGTTCTGGCCCATGTATAGTTGTAAACATAGAAGACAGGGACTGCAGCTGTCATTTCATTTGTACTGAGAATTAGCAAATGAGGAAACTTCTTCTACAAATGCAGGTCAACATCTTTCCAGCAACTTACAGCATTGGAGCTTAGACCACTTAGATGAGTTCAGGTACTATACACAATCAGGTCACACAATGTCACATAATCAGGATTCTGTCAAGTGGGACTTGAACCCAAGTCTCCCTGGCTCTAAGCTCAGCTCTCTGTTTACCACCCCATACTGCCTCTTAGTTCTTACACTGATGGCATTTGTTCCCTTTCCCTTTCAAGTCAGCAAAAGAATTTAAATTATGAAAGTTAACTGCCATAAGTCACTAGTCACACATCAAGATCTCAGCTCCTTGAATTTTTAAGGAACAAACTTTGCTCCTAACAGCAATCTCATACACTAACTTTACATATTTAATTAGATTTGAAAATGTATGGTATGCATTACAAGACAATGTAATAGCATCCCCATAAATTTAGGTTAAGCTATGTTAAGTAGAACACATACTAAAATTCATTTACTATAAGACCAAAGAAAACAATCTCCTAAGTTAATGGATATACAGAACTTACATAGCACATGGAATACTGTACAACAGACGAATACTCCAGCAGGAAAGAAAGCATGGCACTATTCACAAAGGGTAATCATCTGTTAGCAAAGACCATATGTCTTTGATTGGAAATATCAATATATGAAACTATAACCTGGTCTATGACAGTGCTGGCAAATACAAAATGTAAGAAATCAAAATGTAAAATTCATGCAAATTATCACTTATTCATAATACTAATAGAGTAATCCTCTTAATGAAAGAATACCTTATTTAAAACAAATAAATAGTCTTGATAATAGGAAAGCACATAGGATCCATTGAATCTTGTAAGATGGAAGGAATCTTAGAGACAACCTAGACTAATCTCCTCCCTACCTTGTGCATGAATTCTTTCTATAACAGGAGCTCTTAACCTGAGATTCACAGATCTGTGGAAAGATTTCAGGGGGTATGTAAACTTGAGTGGAGTAAAAAAAATTACATCTTTATTTTCACTAACATTTGTTTTCCGTTGTAATCCTATGTATTTTAGTCTATGCATTTAAAAGACATGATTCTGAGAAGAAGGAATGCACAAATTTTACCAGACTGCCAAAGGGTCCATGACACAAAAAAAGATGAAGGACCCCTGCTCTACAACATCCCTGGCAAGTGAGGATTCAGGCCAAGTTTTAATTCCCAATAATGAAAGACGTGTTAGCTCATGAGGCAGCTCATGTCATTTCTGAACAGTTCTGACTATTAGGAAGTGCTTTATCTCATGCCAAGATATGTCTGCTCTCCCCAGTACCTTCTAACATACTGGCCCTAGTCATGACTTCTGAAGACATACCAACAAGCCAAATATTTCTTACATACAACAACAGCCTTCTAAGTTATATGAAGTTAGCAATCTCCCTTCCCTTTTTTAGGCTAAACATCTTTATTTAATTCTAATTAATGACTTTGCTAATTGTTCTTTTCTGGACGTTAGCTCAAGAGGAATTAGAGAGAAATGATGACTTTAAAGTTTATCAATAAAACTGTTAACACTTAGATATACAAGGGATACTCTGTACAAATAAAAAAATTGGGGCAGGTAGGTGGCGCAGTGGATACAGCACCAGCCCTGGATTCAGGAAGACCCGCATTCAAATCCAGCCTCAGACATGTAACACTTACTAGCTGTGTGACCCTGCGCAAGTCACTTAACCCCACTGCCTAGCTCCCCACCCCCAAAAAATTTGATATTACCCAAAAATAGTTTATTCTCAAATCCATTTTTGTAATAAAATATATTTGTCATTTTTAAATCCTTCAACACGCACAATGAAAAGCAAAAGAGAGCTCCTTTTAACAGACATTTAAGGAATATATTTATAAAAATGGCCAGACTGGTAAGAACATACATATAATATACTGCTTTCTAGTTCTCAGAAAATGCCCTTTCGGAAATGCAGACAGTAGCAGTGATGGAAGCCATGATGCAACCATCCAAAGATCAGTCTAGTACTGACATTTGGCCTCCATACTGAGCTACAATAAGTTACTGCTACCAATGAGCAAGTAACTGTGTTAAGCCCAGATTTCACTTGCAGAGATAGTTTAATACCTCTGAAAATATTTCATTACACTTATGAACAAAAAATCATTTCCAACTTACTTTCCATGGTAGGTGACTTAATATAGTCTTGTACCAGGCTCTGTACATAGACCCTTAAGGAACACCTGCCAGAAAAGCCAATGCAGCTGGGGATTTCTCCAAAGTAGTTCTCATTAACCCGTAACCAGTCACAGAGCTAAGACACGGAAAAAAATATTAATTACTTCATATAGTCATATTCACGTAAACAGACAGATAAAATATGCCCTCTGATCACTCTCAAGGAAATCATAGTGGCTTTAATGCCTCCAAGAACCAGGGGTGTCACTCATATGGGACCATTAATGCAGATCACAACCTCTACATAACTTTAGTAAGCATTATTAATGAGTTGCTATACCCAAAAACATTTATCAAACATTACAGACAGCCTCTTAGGGATGAGATGAGCCACTCTGAACTAAGCTCAACTCATGCTCAAATGATAAATAGTTCATCCTCAAAGCCTTCCCAGCCTCGCAGGGGCTGCCAGAGCTTGTACTCCACCAGAATAGCCTTCAGTCTAGATCTGTGACTTCACTGGTATACATCTCAAATAATCTCAAAAATAAACCTCAATAATCTTGAAAATGGATACATAGCTTGAATATTAAATGTCATACAATAAAACAATTAAAAGAGAACCAGTTATCTTTCACAGATAAGACTAGCGGGAAACGTCTTAACAAAACAACAAAGCCATCCTCCAGAGACCTCACTCCAGACTCTCCTCCAGGACTTTCACTACAATGCTTCCACCTAGTTAATAAGGTACTCTGTCTCTCCCACCCCTAACCTTTCCAGCTTCCTTTTAAATCTTAGAATATAAACACTGTGAGGGCAGGGACTGTCTTTCTTTGTGCTTGGATTTGTATTATCAGACCTTAGCACAGTGCTTTGCACATATTAAGTGCTTAATAAATACTAGTTGTCTCAAACTAAACCACAAAATGGATAATTATATAAAAATTGAAAAGTTTTGCACCAATAAAATCAAGACACCTAGAATAAAGGAAGTTGTTGATTAGGGAAAAAAAAATCTTGGAATCAAATATCTCTGATAAGAGCCTATTAACCACCAAACTATTAACAACCATCAAGCCATCAATAAGTATTTGTTAAATGGTGACTATGTGACAAGCAAGCACTGGAGATTCACATACAAAGAATTAAATGATTCCTTACTTAAAATGAGTTTGCTTCCTAATTGGGAAGCCAAGTACACATAAAATATACACAGCATAAATATGAAGTTAATAAATAACTATATATGTACAAAGTAGTTAAATGTTATGAAATAATTTTCCATCTGCTGCATCTATCCCAGATACATATAATGAAAGACAAGATCTATATGGCTGTCTGTGGACATCTAATGCATGTCATAATCTGAACCACAAACATTCTTCACCTACTTGGTTTTTCCTGTGATGATGGTCAGATTAAAGCTTTTTGAGTAGTTACAGATCTCTTCCGGGAGGCTCTGCAACATCTCATGGTTTCATGCAACCAATATGCCATTCACCAACAGGTATATCTGGAAGATGTTACCACCCATTGAGAAACCCACTTCAACTGGGACTCTGCACTGGACCTCTTCCATCACATCTCATTTTTTTAATCAGAGCATCACTGAATCAGGTTATAATTGTTGCTGTGTCTTTCAAGTAATTGTGAATGATTTTGTTACAAAAGGGCTTTTAAGGCAGTATTTTGCTCTACTGAATCAAATGATCTTTCATAATAAAAAAAAATACATAAGCACAATAAGGTAAGAGACCCAGATCATTGAATCCTTCATTTTATGGATGAAGAAACTGAGGTACACAGAGGGCAGAGCAGTGGATAGAGTACCTACCCTGGAGTCAGAAGAACTGAATTCAAATCAGATACTTACTAGCCTCAGATCCTTACTAGCTATGTTACCCTGTGTTAATCCCTCTGTGCCTTAGCTTTCTCATCTATAAAATGGGGATGATAATAACAGCACCCACCTCCCACAGTTACTGTGAGGATCAAATGAGATAATGATGAGGCTGACTTCTGCCCAGCAACGAGAGCCTTGCCTAAATCTAAATCAGCCCAGTAACAGGGGGCTCCATCTGTTAATAAAAAAATCTTGTAATTATCTGTGTACATGAGTAATTCCTATGGTTTGTGCTCACATCCTTGAATGTTGCAAGTTAAGTTCCCTGTTTTGTGACCATATCCCTGAACTGTTTTGTGAAGTACCCAACACACCTGCTTCCCCCTTCCTAACATCCTTCCCTGTGGTTAACTGCCCACGTAGGGGGCTAAGTGACCAAAACTTAGGTATGAAAGCAAGCGTCAGTCTTTTCTCAAACTGCTTGTGCTCCTAAGGACTATCCCAAAGCTCTTGGGGCAATAAGGCTCTCTTGACTAGAATAACCTCTGTCCCCTGAACTCTTTCCAGACAACCCAATTCCGAACATCATCTATCTCATCAATAATTAACTGCAAACCTTAAAGTGCTTTATACATACAAGCTTTTGGGAACTCCAGAGAAGTGATTTGTCCAAGGTCATATAGGCAGAAGATTGTAAAGCAAAAATTAATACACAGGTCTTCTAACTCTAAACCCACTGTTCTTTCCACTGTATCACATTTTTGCCTCTATATAACTGGATAAGATAAAGATGAGATCATTTATTCTCTTTCAGTCATTTGAAAAACTACCATTGTAGTCACTGAAAAACTGACCCACTGCTAAATAACACTTGTGAAGAATGCCCTTCATTTGCACATAGATTACTCACATAATGATTTGAGGTAGTAGGCTGGTACCTGTTTGCTGTCACTTTTTTTTTTTTTTTGGTGTTAATAAGGTTCAAGATTTTTTCCACACCTTAAGTATCTTCATCTCCTTCTGATGTCTCACATACCCACCCCTCACTACTCTCACAACCATCTCTTCTCTAGCACAATTGTCTTCTAAAAACACCTATCCAATCTGGCTATTTTCCCCACCATCTTTGTTCTCTTTAGTGCCAATTCTAACTCCCCTACATGTAAATCCAAGACTGTAATCCTAGGGTCCAAATATAATAGAGCCATTGTCCCTGATGATTAAAAGTTTTGTTACAGTAATCTTTACAGATCTTTTCTATTTTTTTCTATTTATTACCCTCTTACCATTTTCATCTTTAAGTGTCCCGGGATCATTTGCTTAGTTAGATCTCTTGCTAAGCTTTCTGTCCATTATCTCTTTTCTTTCTGAGATGCTATCAGCCTTCAAAAGATTTTACAAGTTTATATTGTAAACTGGTGTTGCCTTTGGCCACCATCTCTGTTTGTCAAATACATTCCAATACATTTACTTTTTTAAAATTGTAATGCTTATTTCTTTAACACCTTTTAGAAAACTTGTGGAAATGAATACTAATCTAATATCAATTTTATTATTTGCTTTTGACAATGTATCTACATAATATCCCCAACTCATTTTTCCAACAAGAAGTCCTGACTACAGTTGCTGGTACCCTCAATTGTTTTCTCATTGCTACCACTGCCCTCCTCTTTTCCTAGGCTCCCAATAGCTAGTTCTTCTGAAGGAAGAGAATGTAATTTCCTTTCTTCTATTCCCTTAATATAATAAAAAACTTCCAATGTTTTTTAAAAGAACTTTGCTGCAAAAACCCTATAGACAGAAAAAAAACAACACAAAAAAAAGAAATTTCACAAGGTCTCAAGGGTCTCCTCAGTCACTTTTGTTGATATTTTCAGGCCTTCTACATTTTTTCCTCTAGAATCAGCCCTATATTTTCCTGGCTTTTTGTCTTTCCCTAAGTTCTTCCAGAATTCACTCTCTGTTTTTTCCCTTGCTTCCTCAAGAATATTCCAGACCTCAGGGTGGGACAAGAGGCAGTGAATAAGTCTCTTCAGTTTCAAGTAGAATTTATCTACAATTCAGAAGATCTACCAGACTATCAGACTCTACAGACCATCTCTTCCAAGTTTCAGATAACATCTTAAAACTATTTTTAACAACCACTATTTCAAAGAAAAGATACTTAAATGTAAAGATAAAAGTACAAAGTAGACCTTTTAAAAATAATGTTAATTTTGCACCCACTACAAGCCAAAATTTCATGTAAAGGCTACCCTTCCAACTTAAGCCTGACTTGACAAAGGAAAAGTATGAAGTTGTTTATTTGTTTGTTTTTACTGTATTTTGTAGAATAAAGGTTTTCACAGATAATATAAATACAATTTTAAAGTGATTTCCTTAAATATGTACCAATAATCAGCCTCATTCATACACAATTGCCCCTCACTTATCCAAAGGTTACTTATTCTATAGCCTTAGCTCTCTGGGATGTAGCTAAAAACTTATAAAAAAAAAAAAGGTTATATTAAAAAATATAATTAAAAGAAATAAAAAAAAAAAGCCCTCTGAAGAACTAAAACAGATACCTCAAAACTTAGGCAATTCATCTCTAGCAGCAAAGGTTCCCAAAGTGGATGATACTATCCCCTGAGGGGGTTGTAATGACCCAGGGGGGCAGTAGTGGCCTCAGGTGCAATTGGGGGCATTGCATAAAAATAAGGGGGAGGTGGAAGCATAAGGAAAGAAGAGAAGAAATTTTTGAAAAACTGTTCATACGTGTTTCACCTGCTGTATAGCAGAGTTAAAGTTGTGGTGATTACATTGTGGTGATTACAAATAAACATACAAAATGCAAGTTATAGCTGATCAGTCCACTTACAAGTCTTAACAAGCAAGTACTGGCAGGCGAGCATGTGGCACACTGTCAGGAAGTCCGGCATGCCTCAAAAGAAATATGTGTGTGAAACGACTTGTTTACAATACGATACTATAAGATTACATGATGCAATAATGCATCATCGAAATTTCAATGCAGGAAAAAATACAAATTTACAATAAATTATCAAATTTAAGATGCATCACTTTAAAAAAAATTTTTTTTTTTTTTGGAATGGCGTAAATTTCAAAAAAAAAGGTTAAAAAAGATTGCCAGAGGCACTCTGAGTAATTTTTCTTTTAAGGGGGTGGTAGGCCAAGTAAGTTTGAGAACTTCTAAGAGAGAACATTTGGCACTCATTCAAAGCTTTTATTTTTCTACCAATTTTAACAAATTCAGTATCTGCTGTCATACACAGCAGATCACTAACAACAGATCAGAAAGAATAAAGTGTACAAATGAATGAAGGATGCCATTATAAGTGGGCACACTAACATCAGGAATTAGTAACTGGTAGTCTCACACTGAAGGAATAAACAGAAAAATAATTTTAAAGTCCCAGAAAGTTAAAAAAAAAATTGTCTCGGCCATTTAACGTAAGGCAAACATTTCCAGACTCCTGAGGCCATCACTGCATTAAAAGATAGTATATCAGTATAATACATTAAAGAACAATATAATAACTGAGCTCTTAATGATGACCACGAATCAGCAACCTACTCTTACAGTAGAGAAGCATTATTAGAAGCATTTTTGAAATATTTCCATCCATCATGGAAAATTTTAGCCCTTTAACAGCTAAATTTTAATCAACTGAAAATTTATTTATGTGGATTCTTGGGAATTTTGCATGCCTGAAAAATTACATTTGAAAGCTCAATGGTAACAATAGCACCTTTTTCATTCCCAAAGCACAATCTGCAGCTGTGTGCTTTCATCACTAGATGGCAATCCAGAACTGGTACAGCAAAACGCTACAAATGATGATTCAGATGCTGCTACTGATGAATGAGTAAATGAGTCAGTAAAAAGTGAAATGCTTTTGAGGCACTGCAGAATGAACTGATCAGCAAAATCTGCAGCAGTGAAAAACCAGGGTCTCGATTCTGTCTGGGGGAGCTTCTGAGGAAAGGCATATAAAGCTATGGTAACGCATTCTGGGCAGCAGATAACATGATGGAATCAACCAGTAGCTGGGTCTTTCAATAGTCACAATGCTCTCCAAACTAGTCAGCCTAATAAATAAATTACTCTATACCTCTCATATTATTGTTTATGCAGATTTTTATCCCTCTTCCACAGGCAGGATCTGATTTACTATTTATAGCAATTCATGTTTCAATGGCATGTCATTACTTAATGTCCTTGTGAACTGTATGTTTTCTCTGAATCCTGTCTCTCTACTCTTCTAATCCACTCTATATACCAGTGCGGTCAAACTCAAACAGAAACACTGGCCACTAAACCATACATAAGTATATCGCTGCAAGCTACATACTGACTTGGAAAGCCACATATTAATATTACCTATTTATATTTTTATTATATAGGTTATATTTTTATTTATTTTGTTTAATATTTCCCAATTGAGCTTTAGTTTGGTTTAGGCCACATGTGGGAGTGTTTTTGTGGGCAACATGTGGTCCACAGGCCACATAGCTGACCCCTCTGCTGTATATCAGCACATACTAAGCAGCGCCTTTCCACTAGCTACCTTATAAAGTCTAAACTTCGAGTCCAAGTTTTTAAGGCCTTCAATATTCTGGTCTCCTCCTTACCAGCTAGCATTTACACAGGATGTTAAGGTTTGCAGAGTTCTTTTCATGTTACCTCATTTGATCCTGCAACCCTGAAAGGCTGGTGCTATTATCCCCATTTTATAGAAATTGAAGCTGAGACTTCCTTGCTCAATGTCACAAGACTGGTAAGTGTCTGAGGCAGGATCTGAAATGCCCCTAAAGGCAGTCCTCAAAGAAAAACCAGTTGAATCAACTGCCCCTTTTAAATCCTGCTCACTCCTTCCTGCCCCACTCTTGCTCAGGCTACTGTGGTATACTACTAAGAATACGCTACTCCTTCTTTTCTATATACCCAAATTCTACTCACCCTTCAACGACAATTCCCAACAATTCCCAATTTTCTCCAGAATGTTTACTAACCTAAAATCAATGACCCTTCTTCTCTTAATTCCCATTGCATTTATAGTCTACGTATACCATTTATCACTTGATTACTGTCCTGCTGTGCTCCACAACTGTTTCATGTCTTAGGTCATTTCCCCAATTCAATTATAGCATCCTCAACACTGCTTTTGTATCCTCCATATTAAAAGGCACAACACAGAGTAGGAACTCAACAAAGAATTTGTAATTGGAAAGAAATGTGGAATTTATACTATATCCTAGAGACAGCTAACTAGAAGGATCTTATGCAGCTCGTTCTCCTGGGACAGTCAGTCTTCAAATAAGTTCCACTGTTCTTTGAATATGAGAGTGGGGTAGGTGCCAAAAAACTTTTTAAAACTCCTCCAAAACTGTCTTCTGCATGAATATTTTGTTCAACTGTTTGTTTTCTCTTCAGTTCTATGGATCTCTCATTTTCTCCCAAATGATTACTTGGCATGTTTAATTCAACAAGTTCAAAACATGTCACACAATTTCTGTAAGGCATGTAACTAGATTATAAACTCCTAATGTAAGCTCCTTGAGAGTGGCATCTATGTTTTGTTTAACTTTGTATCCTTAGCACACAGTAGCTACTTAAATATTTGTTCAACTGAATTAAAATAGCAAAGAGAAAACTCGGAATAAAAAAGCTACTACTAAACAGCCCAAGTTAACTTAATTATATTTCTAAGCCTACAGGTGACACTTACATAGGTTGCTCCTTTTCCCCTTCAACACCCTTTCTAAAGTCCTCAACTACAGTAACAATCATCGATGACTTTCCTTTGATTTAAGTAAATTTATATTCCCTCTGAGTCTTCCTACCAGAAGTTTTCTCTCATCAATTTCCATCTTCCCTTGAGTCTAACATTCTCCACCATCTCTAAGCTATACCTAACCAAGTAACCAGAAACCAACCAGAGATCTACCAGAGACACCACCACTGCCTCTTCTTGTAACCATACCTCTCTGCCAAATTTTCTCCCCTATTCCTCCATAATAATCTGCAATTTTAACCACTTAGGGAAGACTATGAATAATGGAAGAGTTCTGTTCTGCTTATAACTAGAAAAACCATCATTACATTTCACAACTGGCTAGTAATAAAATTACTAGACAGTAATTTTTATACAATTACAAAGACCTAATCAATTATTTTCAAGTCTTACCTCTGTCCACAGTGCAGTACCTCTGCCTAACGATTCCTCTTGTCTCAAGGACATGAGGAAATTTGAGACATCTGAAAATGACACCTTTTCCTGGAGAAATATGAAAGAAAAATCTTCAGCCAAAAGGATCAAAACAGTTTTAATAAAACAAAATTACTTTGTTAAAAATAAATCAAGTATATTAGAATTTAAAATACAGCATCACTCCTAACTAACTGTAAAAGTAGGAAACTTATTTCTTTAAAATTATATAATTTCATATTTCAATCTAAATAATAAAAAATTGTCACATATTCTTAGGAAAAAAGTCGACATATCTGCAAATAGAGTAGTAGGGTTTATTCTATAAACCTATTTCCCTTAAAAATGAAGTTACCATTTATAAACTACCGTACCCAAAGTCTTCACTAAGGATATCGTTCCTACAAACATCATTTTTAATCAGAGTGTTGTTCTTTTCTATTAACTTTGTTCATTTGAAGGTTAAATGATTAAAGAAAGTTTTCTCCTAGGTCTTCCTATTATTCCTCCTGGGTGAGACTATACTCTTTTAAATGATGGAGAAAGGTGAATAAAAAATTCCATTTTTTTTAAAGTAGTTTTGCCTCTATGTTGAATTTAACTATAAACAAGGGAGCAAGTTACTATCAGCCCTTCTCTTTGGATTTTTCCACTGCACTATGGGCAACCATATCCCTTCTTTAAGGATATAAAAGAAATTAAGGGAAAATTCAAACTCAGAACCACAAGAGCTCCAAAAATAAGAGTTCTTTGCCAATTTGCTTGTTTTTTTAAATCTATTCATTCATGATGTAATAACTGAGTTCTAAAACACTTTTTAACTGAAATACTGGAGAAGTAAAGAACTTACCACATCTATCAAATTCATAGCTGTTTGAAGAAGGTAGCACTGAGCTGCTCCTCTCAACAGAATCTGATGTGTGATCATAGTACACTGAAGAACATCCCTACAACCAAACATTCTTTAAATGTGTATTTCCATATTTATGTAACTATATATAACAGCTCTTAAATTAGGCCTCATAAATAATGCCTGTGCAGTGACAAAAATTAAAATTAATATTTCATCTCTCATTTCTTATGCTGAAAAAGTCATCAGTAAGATTTTTTTATTCCTATAATTTTTAATTAAGACTTCTACCATCAAAGCTTACTTCTAATCTGAAAAATTTATTCTTTATTACCAAGAAACGGATGTTTACATAAGCAAAGTTATCTAGTAATTTCACAGATCATAGATTTTATAGGGTTATACAGTTAGAGGCCATCTAATCTAACCCCTTCATTTTACAGATGAGGAAATTCAGGTCTGGTGTGGTTAAGCATCCTGTCCAAGATCAAATACATAGTAAACAAAAGAGGCAGGATTTGAACCCAAGTCCTCTGACTCTAGCTTCCTTGCCTGACACCAAAGGCAGAATTCACTCCACTGAACCATGCTGACTGTTATCTTCCTTATTTTCATCTTTAAATTAAAATTTTAGGATTGTTTGACCCAGAATTGCAGTAAGATACGGTAAAACATACACTGGCCTTGAAGCAAAAAGTTAAAGTGTGAATCCCATCTCCAACGTAGTGGGCCAGAGTGACTAGAAGGATGGTTTATAACACAGAAGTTGGGGAGAAAGATAAATGAGTTGTGTTCTAGACTTGGTGAGTTTGAGATGTCTATAGGACATCAAATTCAAGGTGTCCCAAGCGCAATTAGTGATATAGGACTGGATCAAGGAAAAACTAGGGCTAGATACATAGAGATGGGAATTATCTGCAGAGAGATAATTGAACCCAAGTAAGATAATATTCAGCTAAAAGAAGAGGCCCAGAACAGAGCTTTAGGAGACACCCATAGTTAGTAAATCAATCAGGGAGGAATAGAATGTTTTCCATGAAGCAGTGAGAGCCCAGGTGAGATTGGATAAATTTGTTGTGGACCCAATCAGTAGAGTTTCGTTACATCCCTTAATTTTGTTCAGCAGCACTTAGGTAGGAAAAGGAGGCAGATGGTAGGAATAACTCAATGTTGAGGTGTGGCAAGGAATGTTCGAAGACAGGGCAAGGGGGATTTCACACGAATAACTGATAGATTTCACAGGTATAATTGAAATCATACTACTTGCTTGCCTCCTCAATGGGTGGGGGAGTTACAAAAGGGAGGAAGATAATTTTAAACTCAAAATCTTAAAGAAAATGAAGGATAAAAATAAAAATATGAAAAAAAAAAGATGGGGCAAAAGGCAAGGGATTTGAGAATGGATAACAATGTAAAGCTGAACTGGTTCACTAAAGGGTTGAGACAAGAAAGGGAAGAGAGTACAGCTAGCACAGAGGTGATACCCGGGGGAAGAACTGAGGCATGGAAGGAATGGAGATCATGATGAAAATAAGGAATAGGGTTAGAGGTTATAAAAAAGAGAAAGATGGAATAATAAAGAATATGATCAGATAAAGGAATTTTGGAGTTTATGATAAGGAAGCAGAACATTTGTGGGTGATGGGGAGATCAAGGACATGACTCTTCTGTATGTAGCTTAGATAGAATAAAGGAATAGGTCATGGGCACTAAGTAAAATTTGGGTATTTGAGGTATGAATGACAGCAGGATGTTATGAAGGGCAGAAGCACTTTCTTAAAAAAAAACTGAACTCACTGAGAAAGGAGGGCGAATACTGTCATTACAATAACAGCCACTAGGATTTGGATAGGACAACAAATGGAGAGAGATGAAACTCAAAGGAAGAGAGATTGCTTAGTGAAAGAGGCAGGAAGAGTCTGGAAGTGGCAATATGGAGCAAGGAATATTCTAATTCCCCTCCCCCCTTGCTACCAGTATAAGAGAAAATATATGCAGTACTGGGAAGTGTGGCAAGAAAGTGGTGTTCTCTGGAGGGATCCCAATTACAGTAAGGGACAAAACACTGAAGGAAAAAGAAAAGAAGCCTTAATCACTTACTATCTCTTAAGTCTCATGTTCCTCATCTATAAAATGGTGATAATATCTGTAGTATCTACTTCAGGGGGATGTTGTGAGGATAAAATGAGACAATGTATGTAAGGCACTTTGCAAACCTTTATGCTATACTATATAAACATACTATATAAATCTAGCTATCATTCTATCTTTACTTGATTAAATACTAACATGCAAAAGTTACTAGTGCTACCTAAAGTGCTTCAGAAACCTAAAGTTCTGTACTACATTATTTATGTAAGTCATACATAAAAGAAAGCATGCCCAGAATACTCAGCTTTACATTACAGAGCTGTTTTGTTTTGTTTTGTTTTTCCCCCAAGGCCAAGTAAAGTACAGATGTGAAAACAAATAGTAGTGTTACCATGGGATCCAACTTCCCAGCAGAAAATTAAAACATTTAATTTGTGAAGAAAGCTTTCACAATGTTTCCTATATAAGCCTAAATATTCATTGAATATAAATGAATACCTGAGAGCTAGGAGGCCTTCTACCCCAAGCACTTTACATGGTGGGATGTGTGCCAGAGCTCTGGACAGGAATAAAATTGGAACAGCACACCAATGCCTACTTGTCATCTTCTTAATAAATTTCAATAGGAAACTACCTAAAAGAAAAGAAAATCAATAGGAAATAAAGTTTCTGATTTACTTTTCCCCTTCATTAGATAAATTAAGTATTCTGCTTTACTAAAGTTAACTCCAGAACAAAACTAAATTAGGTATTTAGGTCAAAGTTAGAAAATTCTGAAAGTAATTCAAATTGTATTCCTCACATTATTACTTTACATAAGTATACCCACCCAATAACCATACTGAAGTACTCTGTACACCCAATAACCATAACAAAAAAATTTAGCTACATCTGCCATCTTAACCTCTATAGAGGTTATAAAGTTCGATACCAAAAGAAAAAAATCCAGCGTATACCCTCCCTCAAAGGTTAATACAGAGACAAATCAAAAAATCAACATTACTTTCTTTGACCAAGGAAACTCAGAATTTTCTTTCCATATTATATTATATTTTCATTTCTTCAACTTCTGGACTGAAATCTGCTAAATATGTACACACACACATATGTATATGGTACTACATAATTACTAAATACCGACATCATCTGACAGTCATAAAGTTTTACATTTCAATTATTCATTAATCTCGTGGGGATAAGGAGAACATATTTCCTCTCAGTCTGTTGAATTCCTGAACATTCATTAAAGTCCACCTTAAACTTGTACTTGCTCCCCCTAAGTGGAAATGTTTTCCTCCTTTAATCTCACATAGTAAGTACTTTATACTTCTCTTAGATAGTTGTGTGGTTTGTTTTCTTTTGTATTATAGTTATTTTTATCCCCCTCCTAAGCTATAAAATTCCACGGGAGCAAAGATTTAAATTTTGTATACTCCCAGTGCTTATCACAGAGCTCTGATACATAAGGCACTTAATAAATATTTGCTGAATTATTACTTAATTCATGATTTCATCAAGACATCTGAATTTTGTTTATGTGAAAATGGCACAGCAACTAATATTATTTGAAAGTCTCCTTTTTTTGTGGTTCTCATTCATTCATCTAGACAGAGATACTGAATACATTTTTACCCAGCTACACTTTTAAGGGCTTGTTTAAGTTAACACAGCTTACTCATTGATTTTACTTTTGGCTACTCTTTTCCCCCGAAGCTACCCTATCATGCTTTTCTTAGAAAACCAGGATAAAATGCCACCTTTGATCAAAAGTTCATGCCACAAAGTGCTGCACTACATTAAAATATTAAACAGCACACCTAAATACCAGATATCTCAATTTCTCCCCACTGCTCTTTCTGCTCCATTTTCCTGGCAAGATCTTTATATAAAGGGAAAGGGAATAGAGAAGGAAAAGGAGAGAAGCTTGAATGACTGTCTAATTAATTTGTGAATAAAAAATGTTTTATTATAATACACCTTCCTCTTAATATCTTCTAAGTTCTATACATATATTATCAGTGATCACCTTAATATTCAATTATTCAATTATAGGAAAATAGGAAAGTTATATGATATGACCAGGACCACTCAACTTCTATTAGTAATATAAATAATAAGTGCTAGCATTTATGCAGTGCTTTAAGGTTTGCAAATAGCTTTACAAATATTATCTCACTTAATCCAAACAATAACTCATGCTAATTAGAAAGGATGAAGTGAAAATAAAACCAAAGTATCCTAATGTCAAGCATTGCCTGCTATTAACAGGATGATATCAACTCTTTGCTTTGCTTGCCAACTCAGTAAACCTCATCTTCCTAACCTCTTGGAGTGAAAATCACCTTGGACAGTTTCAGTTCATTATCTGTTAACATAAGGCAAGTCTAACATCTCTATCTAAATCTGGTTCTATAAAGGGGCTACTGTACTAGTGATTAATTTTATTAGAAATGAGAATTAAGGGATGATCCATATGCCAATAGGAAAGATATAATACAAAGGGCTCTTATACTTAGCTAACTTAAACATTTTAGTTTCAAAAATTTTCTAAGCCATCCTCCTTCATTCTAAAAATTAAATGGCTTTAGAAGTCCTACATTAATACACTATTGTACTATGTACAACAGCAGTCTTCCTGAGTGAATCACAACATCAGATACCTCTGTAATTTTGACAGAAAAAGGACACCCAGAAAGAGCAAGAGAGCAATTTTTTCACTCCTGAAACAGTATTATCTCATTTCTTCCCACTAAAATTGCCCATCCTCCAAAATTTGAGGGAATCATCTTCTTTCCAGTTTTGTGGATTTCCCTTACTCTTGCAGTCTTGTGGATTTCCCTTACTCTTTCCTCTCCCTCATATCCTATATTGAATTGGATGCCTATCTTGTCAGTCACACCTCTACATCACATCCTTCTCTCAATTCATACGGCTACTATCCTACTACATACAAGCCCTTGTCATCTCTCACCTGGACTACTGAAATAGTCTCCTAACTGGTCTGCCTACTTCCAGCTTTGCCCCTCCCTAATCCATATTTCATATAGTTCCCAAATTAAAATTCCTAAAACAAGACTCTGACCATGTCACTCCTTTGGCAAAAATCTTTGACAGTTCCAAGTCTCCAAAAGTAAATATCACTCCTCAGCCTGGCATTTAAAAAACCTCCACAATCTGGCTCCAGCCTGCCTTTCGAGCCTTATTTCATCTTACTTCCCTTCACGTGAGCCACACTCCAGCCAGACTGAACTACTCTCAAAACTCAGTGTTACATTTCACATCTCTACACCTGTCATACCTAAAACGCACTCTCTACTTATCTAGAACACTTAGCACCCTTTTTTCAAGGCTGATCTCGGGTGCTATTTCATCCGTGAAGGCTCTGCTGATCCTGCTAGTTGACTGGTCTTCAAACTAATTTGTATTTGTTTATCTATGTCCACGTTGTCACACTGCTCCCTTCCCCTTCCACCTCCCCAATAGCTAGCACACACCCAACAACACTACACCCAACAGCTAGCACACTGCTTTGTATATAACAGATGTGAATAAATGTTTGTTGAATTATTGTTTAATTACATTAGGAATGAGAATGCCTCACATGCTTAAAAAATTAGAAAAGACAATATTCATAGAATAAAACACTCCATTAAAACCTACTTTTTTTATCTTCTGAAAGGAGGGAAACATAAGTGACTAAAAATGTCTGTAATTTCATTCCCAAAGGGGAACAGCTTCCTGTCTTGTGCTCTGGTGACCTACAATGGAGGGAGGAAAAAAAAATGTTGAATAAATGTCTTCATGAAATATGACACTGAATCCATTTAAGTGCACCATGGCCCACAAGTCTTTCATGATTAAACAAAGTTGAAAATTTTTTTTCTTGAGTACATATCCTATTTTGCAGTACATTTAGAGGGTGGATCAGGATTTTCTGATTACAGAGACTCAGGATCTTGTGTTTTACCTTTTGAGATTGGATATGGCCTAATATAATATTATATAATCATGACCTGTGCTGTAACATCTTACTTTTTAATTTAAGAATACGTATGAATTTTGTACACATAGAAGATATTCTCCAGAAGTAGCACTGGAAAAGAAGGTAGACTGGCAATGCAGCAGAATGATGGATGGCATGCAGACAATCCAAGTACAATACCCTGCCCACAGAATAGTAAAAGACCCAAGGAAGAGCCACAGCACACTAGGTGGGATCTCCTATGGAAGATCTATCAATCCAATCCAATAAACATTAAGCACCTATTATGTGCCAGGCATTGTGCTAAACTCTGGATCACAATTCAGTCAAGTACTGAAGTATATATAAACTTTGTCGCCAAAATAACATTACCAAAAATTAATTTTTTTTGCTAGATAAAAAAATAATATTCATGGTCAAGACAGATATTAGCAATAAATTATTTCATTATAGCATTTAGTTGTTAACAATTACCAGTCATTTTTTCCTACTATATGATTCTGCTATGAACATCATCCATTAATTGAACACATTAGACCACTAGAATCTAAAAGCATGCCATAATAAATGTTTTCCAAACTTTATTAAAAACACTAAGTATATTCTTGGGTTTTACTGCTTTCCAGCTGTCTAATTGCTACAGCAAACTATTCAAGAGTAATGAGCTATGCAAACTACAAAATAATTGGCACGACAAGTATTGCTATACTCCTTATATAGTGATCAAATTAAGCTAAATAGTAACATACATTAGCACATAAAATCCTGAACTTATTCACTTAATCTAATTATTAAAAGAAATAAACATAGACAAATATGAGCTTTCTATAAGTATCAAATATAGGCATGTTAAACACAGGAATGTTAACTTCTATTTATAGTATCAATATTTATGAAGAAAATTACTTTTAAAAACTGTGGAAAATTCCTGAAAACAAAGTTCAGGAATACAAAGAATATAGAAACTACTCATAATCTCCTCTTATTCCAGATCAGTGGTATTTCTCATTGATAATGGGAGGATGACCAAAGTCTCCAACTTCAACAAGGCCAGGCCCAAGTGAAAGCCAAAACCACTGATGTGTACGTGGTGGGAGGGAGGGGAGGTGATGATGATGAACTTTCTAAAAACCAAAAAGAAGGGGTGGGGGGCACATACTAGAGAAGGGAGAAGGATGGGAAAAAAGAAATAAGAGAAATTACAGAGTGAAGAATTTGGGGGGTCTTGTTTGTTTTTAATTAAGGAAGGGAAAAAAACTGATAAAGCTTTTTAGACCAGGAAAAGAAGGTGAGGGATGAGAACAGCCACAGTAAAGAGTAATGGCCATATTAAAACAAACCATCAATTTAAAGTCAGGCACCCCATAGGATATTTGGCATTGTACCAACCTATGACAAACATATTCTTTTCCTTATTGTTCTGCATCATAATTAGGTATCAGAAGATTTACCTGCTATATAAAGAACTTTCTGAAAGGGCTTCCATTAGTGGTCCAATAATAAACTAAAAAAAAAAAGACATATGGTTTATATTAACTTGTATTTATAATTTTGAAATCCAGCAAATAACTAGGCTTGCTTTGATTTGTATTCACCCTACATAAGGAGAAGGAAGGATTGCTATAAACAAAACAAAACAGACCTCTCTCACACTAAAGTTTGACTCTGAGATTAACAGAAGCCAGAATACAATGATGTGCTTTTCAAGCAGATAAATTCTGCCAGAATGATAAAGCCAGTAGAGCTATTTGCCCACCTGATATAAAAGTTTGGGATACTGAGAAGAGGGTTCATGTGCTGGTTCAAGGAGCAGGAAAGGAACCTGAAGTAGTAACATGCTGGAATAAAGGCAGTGACAGAAAGAGAGAATAAGGTGCTCAAGAGGAGATTCAAGCCCCTTACCTGGAAGTTAAAGGAAAAAAAATGTTAAATTATATCTCTGGAATTTTGCTGGACATTGGTTAAGGTGGTAAATTCACAAACAGGATCATGGGACTTAATGAGATTAGTTACATGGCATTTCTAAAAATATCATGTTAGCTATTCAGATAATAAGTAAAAGGGTAGAGCAAACCTTTGTTAAAGCAGAAAAATCAGTATTTGCCATAAGCAGTAAACTATTCTAAAATGACAAAGTTTATAAATGTATCTTTAATACTTATAGAACTGGTTTTCTGTCAATGTCCCTATACATGTAATTACTGAAAAACATAATTATAAGTTAGGATGATCATGGACCAAAACACTTAAAATGGCTGTATTTAATGAAAAAGTATAGCCATGATATAGTTGTTGTGAATCATAGGCATAACATCACTAATAGGCTTTATTCTAAGTCATAATTTGCACTAACACTGATATATTTATGTGGTCTATATTACTAATACAATAAAACTTTTTTATAATACTAGACAAAACCAACACCTACTTTATAAGCTAATCTTGCTATCAATTGGCTTTTTCTATATGTAATAGCTATGCTCAGAGGGGTAAAATTTGTTTTCCCTAAAGCCATGAAACAAGTCACATAATAATGATGTTCTATTAATTCTTAGGAATAAAAAGTACAACAAATGTCTTTTGGTCTTCTGGCAATGGGGACAGGGAACACTACCATTACCTCAGAAAATCCTGGTGCACCTGGAAGACCCTTTGTTTCACAGAGTTCCAAAAAGTGCATAATGCCTTCTTTGGTCAGGGTTTTGTTTTCACTTTCAAACATTCTTTTATAAATACACATATGCCAGGATGGATGGAGGAGCCAACATGCTGTCAAAACAAAAGCCCAATTTTGCCTTTGGTCTGAGTTATCAAATTAATCTAAAACGTACACAATTTTAACCTCCTTATTACACTGATCACTAAAGAGTAGAATTCAGTAGGAAGTGGGTTAGTATTGAATGCCATTTGAAAAAGTTTAATTACCAAATACCCCCAAAATTTCATTATCAACTGGAGTCAGCCAGTCTTTCATTGCAGAGGTAACTATATAAAATTTGGGAACTGACAATGAAAGAAATTCTTTCCTTTGAAGAGGTACAAATTTAGAATTAGTGATAAAAATTTTCAATACTCAATAACTCATATTTATAGAATGTTTTATGGTTTACAAAGTACATTCCATACAACAACCCTGTGAAACAGTCATATCAAAATTATTATCCCCATTTTACAGATGAGGAAATTGGACTGAAAACTTGTCTTGGTTATCTTCTATTTACTATACATATTTCTGGTTCTTCAGAAATGAATATTTTTATCCTTTAATTCTTTTGTAAAACTGATTTTTCAACATCAATTCACACCATATTATAAGTAAATTAATTCATTATCTACAATCAACATGAAGAAGCTTCTAAAATTCTTTGGCAGCAGTAATTTTTAAAAATCATTCATTGCCATTTGATTTTACATTCCAAGAGCTGTGGGCAAAGCACAATAATAAGCATATCATTTTAATAGTAGATAGTTAAGTGAAGTCACACCAGGATTCAATTAAATTCTAGCCCCAGGTGGGACCATAGATTCTTATGGTCTGTGAAAATCCCAGTGCATCAGAAAATTACTGCAATAAGCTGAATAAGGCTCAATTCCTAAAGGGTCAACCTATTAAAATTGTAATTATCTGAGACAGGTAGTAAAACCCATCTAACCCAAGTTAATTCTCATATGTAAACACTATAATATAGTACTTAATCATTCACATGAATACAAAATACTGTTAACCTATGTTTGCTTATTACATTGATGGGGACTTCAATTTAATAAAACTGTCTTGTAAGATATCAGTAAGAATTACATAAATAGCTTCTATACATCCTCCACTGAAAAGAATCCATAATATTGGTAGTGGTTAAGGCCCAAAACCCCTATTTTAGAGTTACCTTGAAATTCTCTATTCCTGACTAAGAAATCCCAGCTATGTGGCAATTAGGAATAATCATCTATCTTCTGTTACTGTCAATGCAACAGAAGCAAGGACCCTGATTCATTCTTATTTGCAGTCCCCACCAAACTTTAGTATGCTAATACACCTTTTACATATCCATCCGAGTAAAATGTTTCTAAAGGTCCAAAAAAGTAACTCACAATCACTGAGGCAAAACTAGATATTTTAAAGGAATAATGAAGGGTTATAACAAAAGTAATGCTACCACACAAAGATGACATGTTTTAAAAGCTTAGGAATAAGTCATCTTCTTGAAAGGACAACCATTACCTTTTTCCTCTGACACTGCACAGTCAAATAAACTGTTTAGCTTTGGTAGAACAGGTTTTATAACATGTATCTGAAATATAAAAACAAAAAGATTTTGTAACTGATGAAAAAACACTTCCAAAAACTGATTTAGAACTAGTATCATTACAGTAACAATATTACTTCTCGGCATCACATTGGGAAATTGTTAAGAATTTAATGGTTATAAACATGTAGCTTCTTTTATATGGCACACAGGTTCAATCAGAGAACTAGAATTATGAAGAACAAAGGTGATGAGTTACAGATTTTACATACCATTTTGTGATTTTTAATGCCCTTTTACATATATTACCTTCATTTCTAATTTGATCTTTGATCCCCAATAGCACTGAGGTAGGTAGGCATTGTAGACACCGACTTAGAACTGGAAGGGCCCTCAGAGTTAGTCATCTAGTCTAATCCCCTCATTTCACAGATGAGCAAACAGCCCAGAAATATCAAGTGATATATTCAAACTCGCATCAGTAGCTAATGATAGAACAGGCATTACACCCATTTTAAAGGTGTGAAAACTGAGGCACAGATTCCTGCGTTTTCCCAAGATCACTATGAGCAGCAAAATCACAACTAATACCCAAATCTCCTGATTTTTACTACAGTCCTCTTTCTCTGTAATTGTCAGTTTCTTTACAACACCTCTGCCTCGTAAATATGGGAGAATCAAACTCCCTGAATCACCTTTTCACTGTTTGGGGAATTGCTAAAATCATACAATGTTAAAACTAGAAGGGACCCTAGTTCATTTTACATTTGAGGAAAGAGCCCCAGAAGTTACGCCACATACCCAAGAGATCACGGGTAGTAAGTTGGAAAACTAAGACTGGAACCCAGATTTAGGTCTAGCGTTCTTTCCACTACAGCATTTCCTAGTCCTATTTAAATATATTTGTATACACATACACATAAATGCATTTCAAAGCCAACTATAAACTACTTTAACTTCCAGTGTCCATAGATAGTCTATAAATAGTCCATAGAACTGATGCTTTCATCAGCACTTATAAATTACCTAAATGTGTGTAACATAATATGTCAATAGACATTACCTCAGTATAAAAAATCCAAAATAACAAAACAGATAAATTATTCACTTAAGAATTTAAGTCATGGTTGGTTTCTTTGAAATAAGTACTCCCCTGTTATGTTCAATTATTTGTTTATACTCCATTCATTTGGAAAGGCCAGGAATCTAACAACTAAATTTTTAGGAACCACTGGAAACTGATGCTCAATTGCAAAAAAAGATAAAAGAAAAAGAAAAAAAAAAGCTGCACATTTCCATAATTATAATGTTAAGTCAAAGGAAGATAATTTTATCTATAAAATATGATTTGTACTCAGCTTTTTCAGCTATCAAAATTTGAGACATGTCTACCTGTACTTTATCATGCTAAATCAAAGCCAAAAGAGTGATTATTATATGTCCTATCTTATTGAAAATCTGAAGAATTCATTTTGCTGTATCATGGAATTTGTCCTGAAAAGACAGTGGTGATAAAAATCATTGAATCACTTACCTGATTTCCTTCTAGAGTTTCCATTATTAAAATGTAGTTTTCCCAAAACTTCAAGAGTTGTCCTTTTTTCTTATCCAACCACCAAAACAGACTTGGTTCTAATGTAACAGAAAGACAGTCATTTTCGTCTATTACTAATTTCAAAATATTCACTAAGGATGGTACTTTCATATAACAATGTCATTAGCATTATGAAAATAATGCTTTCTAATATGTAAAAATCTAATGCAAGCCCACGTGCAAAAGTTCAGTAACAGAGGAGGCCTGGCCTAAAAAGAAATTAAGAAGCAATTAAGAATAATAAATTAAGTAAACATCTACAGCACAACAGTTTTTTCAACAGCTTACAATCACTTTCATAAGTTGATTAATATTCTTGTCATCGTTAAGTATGTGAACAGTTGGTGAAAAATATTATAGGCTGGTAAAAAATGTTTTGTAATTAATCTTTTTAATCCTACTAGCAAATGATAACTGATTTAATACATTTACAACTGCAGCAAAAGTTCCCGCCAAATAGCCAATACTTATTTTCAAAAACCCTGTGCAATTTACAGTATGTTTATGACTCCCTAATTTTTTCCTGACTACCTAGCTGTAATAAAATCTGGGAAGTTATTACCCTTTGAAAAGAATGTTTCTTCTACCACTTGCATTTACTCCTTTCTAAAGGAGGGGAGAACACATTGCTCACAATAACTTGCCAAATGCCACCTATAAGGTAGAAATTCTGACTCAAGGTGAATTAAACAAATACAGCCTACTGTAAACACAATCTACAGTAAACTTTAATAGACTCTCTAAAAAAGAGCTGAGTCAAGTGTTCTTGACATACTTGGAAAACTGAAGTCTACCATAACGGGAATAAAAATTAGAGACCTTAATACTAAATCTGTTCTTTTGACAGCAACCTCATTAAAAGACACAAGCCCATGAGCTGGAAAAAAAAAATTCTCAACTCAATCATTCTCATTCTGACTTTTTTACTAAACTCTTTCCTTTGATACGTCTATAAAGTGATATTATCTAGCAGCCTCTTACATCCTCTAAAATCTATGGGAAATAACGCTCCCAAGTGGATCACAAGAGAATTCCAGGGGAGTTTGTAGTAACTGGGACTAACAGGGAATGAAGTTAAAGAGGATACTTCTACATGAAAGGAAATTAAACAAGGTAGAAGTCCTTCAATGTGATGGAGAACAAAAGAAAATAATAGGCCAATCTGATTCAATATCTTAAATTTAGTTTCATCGTTGCAATAAAGGTTCTATTATATTATATTCTGCAGATTTTTTATTATACACACCTTTGTGTGCCTTTCATTTTGCACAGAACAAAATCCTAGGAACTCTACTGCTTTCAGCAAATTTGCAAACACATTGGTGTTCTCAAACGTAAAGTCATTGGATCTCTGAGGTCATATTCAGAAGGGAAATACAGACCTAAGGGTTCAGATCTTATGAAGGGAGGGTAACGGCTGATGAAATCTCAGCTAATGACGGGTAGCTTAACCTCGAGGACCACTTCTGATACAAACTAGCCATTTCAACTGGAAATATATTACAAAATTGACGTACACAGTCAATGCATCTTTTAAAGGATGTACTAGTAGGCAACTCGACTTAGAGGACCACCTATGATACAAACTAGCCATTTCAACTGGAAATATACCCTGAAATTGATGTGCACGTTAATGCATCTTTTAAAAGTCTATAAAATGGCAGTGGGGTATCCCGTTTCTGACATATAAACTGTGTGATCCTGGGCAAGTCACTTCTCAGTGCTCCTTCCTCAATATGTGTTTAAGATCTTTAGTTGCTGATCCTCAATGGGAGAGGAAAATCGTGTAGGAATACAAAAAGAAAAGGGGTGAGGGTGTGGCTAAGTTCGAGGAATTCCCCCCCCCCCCCTCCCCCCCCCCCCCAGCTTGAGGTCTGGGTCCCTGCGGTGAGGCATGTACCGTTTGCATCTCGGGCCCTGCAGCTGCACTCGGCCCCCAGCCCCGCAGAAGCCTCCACCGCCCTCTGCAGCAGATAGCGGGCTCTCTTGCGGGTCAGCCCGTCCGCGTGCACTAGGCCGGCCTGCACCGCCCTCCAGAAGCCATGGCAGCGCCACGCATCGGGCACCTCCTCCTCGGGGGCGCCCCAAGCTCCGCCCACGCCCGGGGTGGGCAGCAACCTCTCCGCCAGGGCGCTCAGCACCAGCAGCAGCCTCGCGACGCGGGGCGCGTGGGGCACTGGGCCCCGCCCCCCTGGCTCCGGCTCCTCCTCCTCCTCCGGTCGGGGCAGGAGCCCGTCCCACAGCGCTCGGAGAGCGACAGCGCTGCTCCGACCCAGCGCTGGCAGCAGCCGCCCGGCCACCAGCGCCGCGACCCCGGGCTCCTCGTCGTCCTCGTCCCCTAGCGCCACGGCCAGCGCCACCCGGGCCACACGCTCCAGCAGCGCTCGATCCTCGCGCGGCCGCAAGCAGGGGCCCACGGCCACCAGCACCTCCACGGCCTCCTCGGCGCCCAGCCCGCCGCGCTCCCCCGAAGCTGCCCGGGCCTCCTCTTCCTTCTCCTCCTCCGGGCCCGCCGAGGGCCTCAGGGCGAGCAGGTCGAGGAGCGCCTCGTGCACCAGCCCTGCCGCCAGCTGGGGGCCCCCGGACAGGCGGGCGCACGAGCGCAGGGCTCCGCCCGCCGCCCTCAGCACGCGGCGCCGGCGGTCGCGAGGCGCCGAGGACTCCCCGGCCGGCGCCCCTGCCTGGCTGCCCCGCAGACCCTGCAGCAGCGGCACGAGGTGCCCCGTCGCGACCTCACGCACCGCCTCCTGCAGCAGCGGAGCCGCGGGACGCGAGCTCGTGACGCCGCCACCCTCCTGCTCTTCCTCGAGACGCTGGAGAAGGAACCGTAACGTCTCAACGCGCTCCGCTGGGGTCGGGGACTCCCAGACACAGAGCGCCCGGAGCAGGACGCGGAGGTCCTGGCTCTGAGAGAGCAGCGCTTCGGCCAAAACCCGCTCCATTCGTCACGCGCGTCCCCGCCTCGCAGCCACTGCGGCTGCTTTGCTTCCCTAGGTCGCCTCAGCGTCTTGTGCGTGCGCGCGCGCGCTCCCAGGGTCCCAGGTCAGGGCACGCGCCTGGGACCAGACTAGGGAGGGGCCTTGCTCCTTCTGAACTTGTGCGTGCCGTGTTTTCAGCTAGGTTTCCAGTTTGTGCCTTTTTTCCCAACCAAAAATCCGAATCTGAATTCAGAATTCCTACCAAAAATGTGACTTTGAAACAGAATCTGAAAACATTAGCGCAGTAAGAAATCACATTTGGCAAGAGCTCTGGTCTTATAATTAGGAAGTTCAAATACCAGTTCCAAATAGGTGAGTGATAAATACTAAGTCATTTAAGTACTTTTAACCCTCAGTTTCCTTTTCTATAAAAAGAGATTTTTACTATTTAACTCTTTAACTTTATAGTGCCATGGAAGTCGGAGTTATTGTTTACAGATGAGGAATCTGGTCAAGAGAGGGAGAGGAAAGGAATAAGCTAGAAATAGCTCCTCATTTGAGCCTCACTATAGTCCTAGGAAGTCGATGCTATTATTATGTCTGCTTTAAAGTTGGGGAAACACGTAGACAGGTGAAGTGAAAGCTAGTAAGTGCTGAGGTTAGATTTGAACTTGTCTTACTGACTCCAGGCCCAGTGTTCTATCCGCTGTACTACCTGATGATAATAATAATAATAATAAATAGCTTGCATTTATGTAGTGCCAGGGCTTTACAAATATTATCTTACTTGAGCTTCATGACAATTGTATGATGCTATTCTTGTCCTGTCTTACAGTTGAGGAAATATTTACAAATATCTTATTTGATCCTCACAACAGCCCTGCCTATAATAATGTTTAGTCATGACCCCATTTGAGATTTTTTTTTGGCAAAGATACTGGAGTGTTGTCCTTTCCTTCTCCAGCTCATTTTACAGATGAGGAAACTGAGGCAAACAGGGTTAAGACTTGCCCATAAACCTAATAAGTGTCTGAAATTTAATTTGAATTTAGGTCTTCTTGACTCTAAGCCCAGTGCTCTATCCACTACACCACCTAGCTGCCAATAATATAAATAGCTAGTCCTTATGTAGTGCCAAGGCTTTACAAATATTATCTCTTGCTTGATCTTCACAACAGTCCTATGAGGTAGATGCTATTTTTGTCCTATTTTACAGTTGAGGAAACTTAAACAAGTAATTATCCAAGATCACAACAGCTAGTAAGTGTCCAAGTCTGGATTTAAACATTAGGCCTTGTGCTCTGTCCACTATACCATCTAGCTACCTCACTTAAGAAGGAACAGTGCTTTGAGACACAGAGGCTCTGAGTTCAAATCCCTTCTCTGAAAACCCAGCTGAACATCTGTGATTCCATGATCTTGTGATTGCTGAAGGTCACTCAGGTTAGCGGCAGAAATAAATTCCCAGGTTTCCTGACTCCCAGTTCAGTGTTGGTTCTACATAAATTGTCATACTATTAAAAGTCTAAAAATATTGAAACATGTGCAACCATTGGTTCAAATATTATTTGTATGAGCCTCTAGTATTTGGTGGAGATTGATTACTCCCTACTTGTGTGAGGGGCAGAACTGGATAGCTACCTATCAACATACAGTGTCTGTATATCTACATGGACTCTGTTGCCTTTCCCCAATGAGTACCATTGCTCCCTTTGCATGTGTTCCCCATTAGAATGTGAATTCCTCAAGGATAGGTGTTTTCTTTTTATGCTTGTACAGTAAGTTCTGGATAAGGTATGTTTCAAAAATGCAAATTTGTTCCAATATGATTACTGTATTAGGGAACATTTTGAGCATAACTTGAATTTCAAGTTTGCTTCTGCACAACTTGGGCAGCTAGGTGGCTCAGTGGATAGAGTGCTGGGCCTAGAATCAGGAAGATCTGAGTTCAAATTTGACCTTAGACACTTACTAGCTGTGTGATCCTAGGCAAGTCCCTTAACCTCTGCCTCAGTTTCCTCATTGGTAAAATGGGGGTAATAACAGCATCTGCCTCCTAGGGCTGTTATAAGGGTCAAATGAGATAATTGTAAAGTGCTTAACACAGTGCCTGGCATACTTTAAGTACTATACCTGTGTTGGCTATTATTATGTCACAAGCTACAACCCTTCCAATTACCACTTCCACCAGCAAATTTTAGGTCTTTGTCAAGGTAAAGTGACATCTGGTGCAGTAGGGCTGTAGGTGTCTGCACCACACCCACCTCCCTCCTCCCATGGCCTCCTGAGACTCTGAGTTGTGACCTGCTCTGTTTGCTCATGCAGCCCTGGAGTGCAGGCCTGACCGCATCCAGAGTAGCATTCATATATTTCTTAATCATGTAACATGTATAAAACTCTGCTTTCAGTTTTTATTAAGTTTCTATTTTCTATTTAATGTGTCAGGCCTGCAGATAGGAAGTCCTGAGTTCAAATCTGGTATCAGACACTGTGACCCTGAGCAAGTCACTTAACCTCTGTCTACTTTAGTTTTCTCATCTGCAAAATGGGAGATAATAGCACCCACCTGCTGGGTTGTTATGAGGATCAAATGAGATAATTATTGTAAAGTGCTTAGCACAGTGCCTAGCACATAGTAAGCATTATATAAATGTTAGCTATTATTATTTTCCCCCTAATTCTGGCTTTTATTGCACATTTTTTCATATCGAAATGCTTTTAGAGAACCCATATGTCTTGTTATAGCAGAACTGCCTATATTTGTATTCTCTGTGCTTAGCAGCAAGCACTTAATAAATACTTTATCCATCTAAAATATATAGAACATGAATTCTCTTTTTCTGTTCCACTTTTTATATGGAAAGTAGGGGGCTTTTTTGGCATTAAGTTCAGAGTGAATAAAATAAAAACAAATAAATGTGTAAAAGACCTTTGACAGCACGTTAGCTTTATAGTAAATGCAAAAACAAAAATGACCAGCCAGCTAGTTCAGAAGACATTCCACTCCTACTTCTAGTTCCATTTTCCAAACTAAAATCTGGATTCTCTAAATAATGGCTTTGGTTTCAACCTATCCTCTAGTAAAATCTGAGCCAGGTGCCAAGAGCCTCCATATGTGGTGGATGTTGTTAGGTCCCTGTGGCTTGGTGATTCAGTATCATCCACCTCAATGAATAAGTCCAGACACTCTTGGAAACCACTAGTTGAATACTGATAGTTATAAAATGAGAGAGTTAAACTATATTGTCTTTAAGGTTCATTTCATTTCCAGATAGTATAAACCTTTGACTTCTAAACAGATAGGTTTTCTTCAAGATATAAAGTTCCTTAAAAAGAAACTATACAGTATTAGCTAGGTTTAATTTGTATCTGACTCATAACTTAAAGGATTTATCTCACACCTACAGCAGAAATCTTTTCAGTGTTGTATGCAGAACACTGCTAGATGTCAGGAGTAATACAAAGCTTAGATAAAATAATACTGACCCTTATGGAACTATTAGTCCCACTGGGCAGTCTGAATATATCAATCCTTCCTTTCAAGCATGCCAGGAGCTGGGCACATTTGTGCCACGTGGGCCCTGGATCTCCTCCGGTGACGTGCTTTCTCTGGATGTGAGGCCCTCTCCAGAGATATGTGTATCCTGTCCCTTTCTAGTAGACTCCTTGATAAAAGACATATATAACCAGAAACTTCTGGTTGGCTCCCTTGTATACTCCTGACTCTCAATTGGAGACTGGTCAAAGAGAATTTGCCATTTAACCTGCACAAGTAGCTGTGTATGTCCAGTGTTTGGAACCCTTTGAGTCTCTCCCTTGGACACTCCATGTTGGAGCAGGGGTGGAAAAAATCCCCCTTCCTCCAGTAGGTATAGAAACTAGTTTGCCATTTACATAGGAGAGCAAGAGCTAGGGAAGTTAAGAGTCAGAGGTAATGAGGGAGAACTGTTCATTCCAGGCTAGTCAATACATCTGGACCTTGAGTGAACTACTCAGAAAGCAGATCTGAGTTGAAAATGAAACTCCTGTACATGCTTTCAATACTTGTATCATGCTTTAAGTGATTGTCGGTTCACATTTATTAGTCTTTTGTGTTTTAAGTGTTATTTTTGTGGTAGAGGAAATAAATAGCTCTCTTATACCTGGTGTATGTTGTACATTGGTAGCTTTCTAGAAGAGACCAAGTTAATCCACTTTAGGGAGAGACCCTCGACATGAACCAAACTTGAGATTTGTTTAAGTGATTGTCTCCAGAATTGGACTCTAGGGTTGTGGTATTTTAAGCCAGAGAGTTCTGGAACAGCCTAATCCTTTCTCCGGGGCCAGGCTTCCCTCAGTATGAACCTGGTCTGAATCTGGAATCAGGGCACTACCACTTTAGTGGGTGAGGATGTCCCTGAACCATGGGCGTGTGGATTTTTACGTGATGTTCCCAAAAAAACTAAAATGCATGCTAAGTACTTTAGAAAAATATGAAACAAAAGACTACTTGAGTTTCAAATGCCAAAAAGTAATTACCAACAAGATGATTAGGAAAGGGTTTGTTGAGGATTATAATTTTTAAGTTGAGTTTTAGAAGAACAATAATTCAACAGGAAACCAAGGTAAGGAAAAATTTTCTGGGAAAAGTGTGAGCCAAGGCACAGAGACAGGAAAGCACAGAACAGGCTCTTAGGACAGAGAGTTGTTCTGTTTGGTTGAAGTATAGAATATATATTGGGGAATAATGTAATACTAAAAAGGCAGAGTACTCTCAGATTGTGGCAAGTCTTAAATGAATTTGTACTTTATTCAGTAAACTCTAGAGAGCTAATAAAGAAGGAAATGACCAGATTGATGTAGAAGGAAGATCAATCAGGAAATCCTGTGAGAAAGAGAGAGATAGGAGGCTGGTGTTCTGGACGTGAAAAACCATTCAGAAGGGTTCCAAACACTCAAAAAGGTATTTGAAACACCATATTAAACAAATGGATTTCCATGATCAAATAATTCATCAACTAGCAATCAATCTACTGATGCTGAACCTCATAATAATAGCCCATACAGTAGTCTGTCCTTTGTATGGAACTTTACTCA